CTAGCTGGAGGTTCTTCATAAGACCCCTCAAACATCCTGACCTCCCAGGGAACTGACTTGCCTTAACTTCCTTCTCCTAGTTCATCTCCCTTGTCTGTCTATCTATCTTTTTCTTTTTGGTAATGACGATGGAACCCAGGACCTCCTACATGCTAGGCAAGCCCCTCTAATACTGAACTACATCTCCAGCCCTTCTTATCTTTTCTTTTTATTATTTATTATTTATTTATTTATTTTTAGTTGTAGTTGGACACATACCTTTGTTTTATTTATTTATTTTTATGTGGTGCTGAGGGTTGAACCCAGGGCCTCGCATGTGCTAGGTAAGTGCTTTACCACTGGGCCACAACCCCAGCCCTCTTTTCTTTTTGTGTGTGTGAGGGTACTGGGAATTGAACTCAGGGGCACTCCACTGAGCCACATCCCCAGCCCTATTTTGTATTTTATTTAGAGATGGGGTTCTCACTGAGTTTTCTTATCTTTTTTTAAAAAACAGATGCAACATATTTTATACCTTTGTTTTTTTAATATTTAGTTTTTTAATTATAGTTGGACATAATAGCTTTACTCTATTAATTTATATGGTGCTGAGGATCGAACCCAGGGCCTCGCATATGCTAGGTGAGCACTCTACCACTGAGCCACAACCCCAGCCTCCTTTATTTTATTTATTCATTTTTACATGGTACAGTGGATTGAACACCCAGTGCCTCACACTTGCTAGGCAAGTGCTCTACCACTGAGCCACAACCATAGCCCCTTCTTATCTTTTCTTGATGCCAACCCTGAAGCATTTTGGCCTCATTGGATGAGACTTGCTCCTGAGTTAGTGGCATTTCTAGTCTGCTCTGCATGTCAGCCAAGAGCTTACTCTAGGGGCCAGAGATCTCCCTCAGGCAGAAATCCATGAGATTGTGATTGCATGGGAACTGTCTGCAAGCATACTTCTGTGTGAGCTGATGGTAAGTAGGTGTCGTGGTCCAAGGTGACTACTCCTTGGCCAAATAATTAATTTCTACTGAATGTCTCACCTAAGCAGAGTCATCAGAAGATTTCTCTGAGATTTCATATATTGATGCTTTTTCTGGAGCCAAAAGTATGATGCAGGCTGCAGCCTTTTATGGTCTTCTTTCCTGGATGGAGAAGAAAATATCAGAAGTGGATTAATTAGTTTGGATATTTTAGAGTGATGTTTGGGGGAAAGATCTGGGCAGGAAATAAAAATCTGGGAATCTAGTGGAAGGAATATGAAATCCTGTAGAGGTGTCAACAGAAAGTTATCTAATTGGCCTCACCAAAAGAAAACGGTCTTTAAGTAAAAAGTGAATGGAAGGTGAGACAAAATCTTTTTTTCTGAGTATGCCACAGTGAAAAGTGGATGTGGTAGTGCATGCCTGGAATCCCAACAATTGGCTAGGCGGCCTAAGTGGGAAGGATCACAAGTTCAAGGCCAGTAGGGGCAACTCAGTGAGACCCTGACTCAAGAATAAAATTAAAAAGGACTGGAGATATAGCTCAGTGGTAGTGCACTCCTGGGATCTAGGTACAAAAAAAAGGACTTTGACTTTGACTAATAGTGCTAGAATTGGAATTATACCTTTGCCCAGTTTCCCCAACAGGTAAATTCATAGTATGCAAATGTGTGTGTTTAGCTACAACAACTTGCAGCCTTTCCCATCATTGACCTTTGATAATAATAATTTTAAAAGGAACCATATATTAAATGACATTATATTTAGTATCGCTGATTCTACTAGCCTTTCTGTTGACATCAGCTTTAGTCTGTCACACCAAAAAATGATCATTTATTCAATCCATAGTTATACCTGTCATAAAACTGAACTACATAGACATATACTGTCTATGTAAAAATGTAATGTAAAAACTGGTGAAATCTAGCCAGGCCTAGTGGCACAGGCCTGTAACCCCAGCTACTCTGGGAACTGTGGCAAGAGGATCACAAGTTTGAGTCCAGCCTGGACTACTTAGCAGGACCCTGTCTGAAAAATAAAATTTAAAAGGACTAGAGATAGAGCTCAGTGGTAGAGTGCTTATCTACCATGTGTAAGGACTTGGATTTAATTCCCAGTACCAGAGGAAAGCAAAACCAAAAGTGACCTAGTGAAATCTTAATAAGGTCCATAGTTAAGTTAATAGTATTTTAGTAATGTCAACTCCCTGGCTTTGATAATTATGCTATGGTTATACAAAATGTTATTATTGGCTAGGCAGGATAAAGGATATATGGGAACTTTCTCTTATTTTTGCAACTTCTATACAAGTTAATCTAAAATTATTTCATGATTAATTCTTTTTTAATCCAAGGGAGTAAATCCTTTCAGAACCAGCTATCTTTATTTGTTCTAGTTATACATGACGGTAGAATGAATTTTGACACATCATATATAGATGGAGTATATATAACTTCTCATTCTTCTGGTTGTACATGATATAGAGTTATACCGGTTGCTAATCATATGTCCAATATGTGTATATATATGTCTGATATGTATATATGTATGTGTGTGTGTATATAGTAATAATTTCAATTCATTCCTACCCCCATATCCACTTCCCTCCAATAACTACCCATTTTATGCCTAAAATTAAGAAGACTGACAATACCAAATGTTGACAGTGATTGGGCACTTTGGGGAACTCTCATTAACTGCTGGTGACTGTAAATGGATACAGTGACTTTGGAAAAAGGGTTTGGTAATATCTATTAGTGTTGAAAGTACACATATCACACAAAGCAGTAGTTTTTACTCCTAGACATGTCCCAATTTATATGTTAAAACCAGGTAAAATTATAGAATTTGAAATGATTGTCTAGCTGGGCATGATGATGCACACCTGCAATCCCAGCTACTCAGGAGGCTGAGTCAGGAAGAAGTCAAATTCAAGGCCAGCATGGGCAACTTATTGAGACTTGCTGCAAATTTAAGTGTGTGTGTGTGTGTATATATACACACACACACACACACACACACACACACATACACACATACACACACACACACAAATAAAAAGCGTTGGGGATGTTGTTCAGTGGTAGAATGCCCCTGGATTCACTCCCTGGTATTGAGAGAGATATAAGATGATAGATAGATAAATAGACAGACAGACAGATAGATGAAGGAAAGAAGGAAGCAAGGAGGGAAGGAAGGAAGGAGGCTATCTGTTTTCTAGGGAGAAAAGGAGAGATAATGATGGAGATGACAGGGTGGAGGCTTCAGGAAGTGTTAGCAATCTATTATTTCTTAATTTGAATAAGGATCCCATGATTGTTCATTTTGTACTAATTAAATAAAATATGTCTCTATTTTGTGCTTCTTTCTGCTTGTCTGTTATACTTCCTGATGAGAAAAGTTAAAAAACAAAAAAAGAGAAGAAATGTAGAATGCTCTATACATCCCTTCTAAGTTTATCCTTATAAAAATTGGTTATCAAGGGGCTGGGGTTGTGGGGTTGTGGCTTAGTAGTAGAGTGCTCGCCTAGCGAGCATGGGGCACTGGGTTCAATCCTCAGCACCACATAAAAATAAAATAAAGATATTGTGTCCGCCTAAAACTAAAAAATAAACTAAAAAAATTGGTTATCAGGTTGGATGGAGCCATGATCTCCATCTCAAAGATGGATGAGATCCTACTGATAGGATATGGGGAGGTATAAGTTCCTTTTTTTCAGGAAGAAAGGTAAACTGAAGTAATTATTAGCCTGATTTCTGTCTAGATGTCTTAACGTTCATTCAACTTCCCTTAATGCCTAGGTATTCCAGAGTCAGATCCTGGCCATTCTAGCCTTCATTTTGTAACATTACTTTTAATTGAATTATAATGTTTACTTCCTATTTTGCTATCCCAACTTTCTATGCTATTTATCTCAATATTCTAATTTACCTAAAAATGTAGCCTCTGCTTTTTTATTATGAAAAACTTTACAAAATAAATGGTAGTGAGCCCTATACTCAACTTTATTTTGCAGCCTCATTCCCAAATTTAGTGTTTATTGATGATATACACTACATATATTTCACAGTTATATGTAACTGTGATATGTAACAGATCCATATGATTCTCTTAATCTTGTTTTCCGATACATATTTCTCACTCTGAGTTCACCTGTTTGTCATAGTAGGTAGCTACAAAATATTTCATCTTAATTGTCTATGTTGAGTCCTTTTTTATTTATCTGATTCAAATATTCATGGGAAGCACAGTTCCTCTGTATCTATATCTGAGGACCATTCATTTCACTTCTTCCTCAGTTGCAACTCCACTACTTTACCAACTATGTCAAAAAAGAGTTCAAAAAGTAAAGGTTAGAATGTGTGGGTCCTCCATTTCTTACCAAGTTATAGACTGACTCTTATTGTTGTTTCATCTTATATTGTTCAATTATCTATAGCCCTTTTTAGGGCTATAGATAATTGAACAATTATCTATTTTCAGTCATTGAAAGTAAAAATATGATAATCTGATTCCTAGCTATCATTCAAATGGAAAGCAAACTACAATCTATGCCTCATTCCTTTTTAAGCACAAGCATCTGCAGGAAAGTGGGGAGATGAAGCAAGAGCATCTACTCAACAAATTTTAACTTCACTTTGTTCATCTGAATCTGGCCTCCCTCATGTAAACGAAAAAGATGCTGCCACCTGGCTTCTCTCATTGCAGGGCTCATATCGTGTAGAGAATTCTTTTCTTTTGGCCCAACAGCAATAACCTGGACCGTCAACAGTTCCAAAGTATGAATATGAAAAAATCTTTGACTATTTACGATGCACAAAGGTATTATTGTTTTGGAGCAGATGTTACTGAATTTTTGGAGCCTTAATGGATAAAATACCAAATGCTGAAGATCTGGTAACCCATTCGAACAACTTTCTTCTAAAATATTTTTACTTTGTTTCATTTCTGGGGATTGACCTAGGGTGCTCTACCAGTGAATTAAATGCAGCAGCAATTTTTACTTAGAGACTGGGTCTCGCAAAGTTGCCGAGGCTGGCCTCGAATTTGCGATTATCCTGCCTCAGCCTTCTGAGTGGCTAAAATTACAGGAGTGACTCTTTAAAAGTTAAAGCGGTCCCACTATACAGTCAACATCTTTGTTGCCTGCCTTATGAACCTTCATATTCTTGTCATGAGCTTAAAACCCACCAGAGGGCGCTCGTTCCCTGTCGATCTAGACTTTCATCAGCGACTCAGAAAATCCAGGTTAAACTTGATTTTAACATTCAGGAAGTCTTTCACACTTAATCCACAAATATTTGCTGAGAATTTATCATGCTGCTAGTTTCTCATGATGCAGTGGTGTGTTAGGCACGATCCCTATTACTAGAGACTTAGACTGGAGCAAACACTGCTAAGATAAAATGGGATAAGAGTTTTTGGATTCATGAAATTTGTTGTTTGACATTAGCCCCAACCCTAGAGCAATTCATTCAGAGATCCTAGAGTGCTTCTGCTCTGTATCCGGGGCAACTATCTCCGCCCCTAAGGTGTTTGGTCGGGCATCAGTCCGGACCTCCCCTTATGCGGCTACAGTCGGCTACGCAGGACCCCTTCTGTCGCCTTTTCTAGCGATTCTTTGCAGTTCGCTGTTCGCTTCTGCCCCCATATCAATACTTTAATTGCCTTCCAGGCCAAGTACAAGGAATAACCTACAATTATCAGTGATAGATGGCGCCGCCCATTCTCTTTCAGTTTAAAACCCGCGGGCTTTTCCTGTTTGGAATTGCTAAATTTACCGTCCTGATTCTCGCGACAGTTCCTAAACCTCGCGAGAAGTTCGCTTTTCGTCCCTCTAAAAGAGTTTGAGGCCCTGTTGGCGGTGTACTTCTCGGTATTACACCTCGTCAGAATATCTCTGGTCGGGAGTGCCGTTTGCACGGCTTGGGAGCCCCCTAAGAGAAAGGCGTGGTCGAGTTCAAATGATCTCTCGAAGGCAGAGAACTTGGGTCTCCTCCAAGGCTCACTCCGGGGCGCACAGCGCCTGCGCGGCAGATCCGCTGGGTGGACCCCCGTTGCTGCGAGGCAAAGGCTGTGGCGGCCTGGCCTGCGGGGCTGATCCTGACTAGATGCCGCCCCTTCCCTGGCAGCAAACCCCGATTTCCGCCCCTATAAACTTTACTGCCACGAGGCTTCAGAAAGCCTCTCGGTGTAGGCAGGGGCGGGATCTGGCAGACCTGCGTGGGGTGGGCGGGCTTCCAAGGGTGCTCTCTTCCCCGCCCCCAGCCCAAAGTGCCACGGTGGCGCTGGTGGCGGCCGCGAGACTCAGTGCCTGTGGCCCTGCCAGTCTCGCAACGATAACCCGTAATCCGGACTGGGAGCTACACCCGCTGGGGAGGCGCCCAGCCCGCCTCTCCCCGCAGCAGCTAGTTAGCTCCGACCTCTAATCACCCCTCTCATCCCTGGACTGAAGCACCTGCCGGAAGTGGGTAGGGAGGAGGCCAGTTGTAGGCAGTCAAAAGTAAACGCCAAGAGCGGTGCGTGCCTGAGTGCAGAAACTGGGTGGGCAAGGCTACGCTACGACCACCTCCGGGAAAGCCAGCCCAAGGCTGCGGGGAGACGATGTTGGCTTACCCTGCCTTCTAGGTGCACCCAGACATCGAGGTGAAATGCCTTGGCACCAGAGCAGCTGCTCTAACCACCCCCTGGGACTGTAAACTCAGATGGGACAGGACCAAGACGTTAAGCCAAACTTTGAACTTCCCATCCATCCTTCTACTCCCACTCCCAGTCTCCAGCTCTCTCACTCTTCCTTCTTTCCCAGCTTCGGTGTCTAGTTACGGCTCTTTTGCTCTCTCTTTGTGGCTTTGGACCAGGCTGGAAGGAAATGGCCCGAGACGGTCCCGTGCGGCTGCATAAAATTGGCAGCTGCAGAATCAGGGGGAAGGAGGGTACGCGAAGTCGAGGGGCGGGGAAAAGGGGTGGAGGAGCTGCTTTTCGAATCCAAGCCCTTGGGCTCTCGGAAATCTTCTGGCATCAGGCGGGAGCAGAGGTGGCAGGTGGGCCCAGGGGACTGTGCACCTCTACTGTTTCCACCTCCTGCTCTTTCCGACTGGATTCACCAAGCTGCTCCTGAGGGCCTAGTCCGGGACAATAGGTGAGTCCCTTAGCCCCTGGCCACACGCGAGGGGCATCCCTCTCCTTCCCAACCCCTTTAATAGCTTCTTACATCTGGAGCTGACCGTTCTCATCCATTTCTGAAACAAGGAGCTGCAGAGTTGGGTGGTATATGGAAGTGGTGCTGGTGGTGTTTGTGGGTGTGTACGCGCATGTGAGCCCTTTTATCTCCCATCATCTCTCCTTTCCTGATTCCCCAGGCCCCAAGAGCAACCCGATCAATTGCAACCGGCATAACTGGATAACCGCTAGGGATTATTAGACATCTGTTAGGGAACTCCAAGGTAGCAGGGAAGAAGATATTGCTAGGATCAAGCTTTGGTATAAGGAACAGTGAGGCTAGTCTTTACGCATAGGCATTGTTTCCAACTTCTTGACCTAGCTTCCCTCTCTAGCAGGGTGCCACCAACGCTCTGATGCCCCGAGTGCTCACAGGGCTTCCAGCTAAGCATGCTGCAGTTGCCTTGGCGCTGCCCCTTCTACTGCTACTGCTGGTGGGGTGGATGCCACCACCGATCAGCGCAAGGCCGTCCCCAGGCCCGGATTACCTGCGGCGCGGCTGGCTGCGTTTGCTAGCGGAGGGAGAGGGCTGCGCTCCCTGCCGGCTAGAAGAATGCGTCACGCCTCGGGGCTGCCTGGCGGGCAGGGTGCACGACGCGTGCGGCTGCTGTTGGGAATGCGCCAACCTCGAGGGCCAGCTCTGCGACCTGGACCCCAGTGCTCATTTCTATGGGCGCTGCGGCGAACAGCTTGAGTGCCGGCTGGACACAGGCGGCGACCTGAGCCATGGAGAGGTGCCGGAGCCGCTCTGTGCCTGTCGCTCGCAACGCCCGCTCTGCGGTTCCGACGGCCATACCTACGCCCAGATCTGCCGCCTGCAGGAGGCAGCCCGCGCTCGGCCCGACACTAACCTCACTGTGGCGCATCCAGGGCCCTGCGAAGCCGGTACGCACGGCCCAGGACCCTGTCCCCGGGATTGGGAATTCCTCCAGGCACTGCTTCCCGAGCCCCGACGGCATTGGTCTCTGGCCGGTGGGGAGAAAAAGATGAGACCCAGGAGGCCTCCAGTCTAGTGTTAGACCCTGCTCTGGCAACCAGGCTCCAGGCGGTTGCCTTAAGTTGCGGGTCCTGAGCTTTGTTGGCAGCTTTGCATACTGAGCTGCCTGAAATCCTCAGACCCAACCAGCAGGGAAGGAAGAAGCACGTAGTCAATAACTGGTTCAAAATTAAAAAGACCCCCCAGACTTTTCCTAGGCCTCTGGAGCTTAGACCGCTAAACAGAGATGCGATCAGTGTTTCTTTGTTCTTATTTGTTGTTGTTGTTTTGTTTTTTGAGGGGGTGGGTACGCAGTACCGGGATTTCTTTGGGAAGAATCTTAAAGCACTCTGTTAACCAAACTCCCTGCCTCTTTCCTTTCTCCTGCGAATAGGGACTAATGAAGGGGGGTGGGGAATCATTTCTCAGCTTTCCCTCTAGTCACCCTGGGGACTGGGGCCATTCAAGCTTTTAGTTTTCTTTGGCGGCTTCAGCAACTTTCGCTTCCTGAGCCACTACTGGTTCTGGCTTGGCTGGGCTGCTGGCAAAACAAACACAACAGTTGGGGGGGGGGTCCCAATAATTTCCTCAGCCTCCAGGAGGCTGCTTGGTTTCAGGTTCTCCCACATTAGCCCAGGTTCCCCGCTGTCCTCTTCCCCCTTTAGTCCCCCTTCCCAGCCAAGGCTGGGATAGAGGGAGGGTTGCTCTTCAGGCCTTTGAGAAGGGACTGGTTACAAGAGAGGGAAGGGGAGAGGGTGGTATTGGTTACAAGCACAGCAGGAAAGGGGCCCAGCAGAGTGTAATGAGGACCAGGGAGTAGTCCTGGACTGAGTGCCTGAAAGCTAAGATGTAGGTCTGTGTACTTGTTTGTGCAATTTGTACAGTGCTCTGTGTGTATATGTGTGCATGTTCATCTTTATTCTGCATTTGCACCCTCATATGTACCTGTATCTACATTTGTATGCATCTGTGTATACATTCCATGTTTTATTTGTGGACGTGTATTTGGTTCAGCATATATCGTGTTCCTTAAAATACATGTCCACAAGAATTGGTATATTGTGTCCTTGCTGGGCAAGATACACCATCCTGTTCTCAGGCCTCCCACCTTCACCCCCTAGAGCCTCAGATCGTGTTGCAGCCATATGACATTTGGAATGTGACGGGGCAGGATGTGATCTTTGGCTGTGAGGTGTTTGCCTACCCCATGGCCTCCATTGAGTGGAGGAAGGACGGCTTGGACATCCAGCTGCCAGGCGATGACCCCCACATCTCTGTACAGGTAGGGGCAGGGAGCAGAGGTTTCCCTCAAGCATCCTAGACCTCTCTAGAATGACCTTGCTGACTTTGCCTCTGGCTCTAGTTTAGGGGTGGACCGCAGAGATTTGAGGTGACCAGCTGGCTGCAGATCCAAGCTGTGCGTCCCAGTGATGAGGGTACCTACCGCTGCATTGCCCGAAATGCCCTGGGTGAGGTTGAGGCTCCTGCTACCCTGACAGTTCTCACACCAGGTATGGGGGGCAGGTGGCTGTGGGAGGCTGAGCTCTGATGGTTGAATGGTGTTGGATTAGGACCCTCAAATGTGTATAACAATCCACATGTGTGTAACAATCCACATGTGTATGTTTATGTGGGTGCACACAAGCATGGTCTTCCCATAGACTGATCTTTGTGCATCAGCAGCCTCTCCCCTGTTCTCTCTTCTTTGTCCACATGTGTGTTTGCAGATCAGCTGAACTCTACAGGCATTCCCCAGCTGCGATCACTGAACCTGGCTCCAGAGGTGGCTGAGAGTGAAGAGAATGAGGATTACTACTAGGTCCAGAGCTCTGGCCTATGGGGGTGGATGAGTGGGTATAGTATTCATTCCTGCTTGAGAAGACCTGGAAGAGACCTGAAAAGGGCTAGCGAGCAGAGAGCATACATGAAATAGCTGCAGATACCAGAATCCTCTTTCCACCAGACTTCCCTCCATCCCTGCTTAGCCAGTTTCTCCTAACTGCCTTTTCCCACAGACCCTTGTTCCTGCAGTTTTTTTTCCATATTCCCAACCTTTGCCTAGCCTCAATTTATTCTTCCTCAAAACTCATATTCCATCCAGACATGGTGGTGCATACCTATAAATCTCAGCCAATAGGGAATCTGAGCAGAAGGATCACAAGTTCAAAGACAGCTTTAGCAACTTAGCAAGGCTCTGACTCAGTGGTTAAGTACCCCTGGGTTCAATCCCTGGTACCAAAACAAAACAAAACCCTCACATTCCAGAAGTTTTCCCTCTCACCCAGATATTAACTGTAGTTCTTTTTTGTTGTTCACCATCTGTTGTACAAGAGAGCACACTGAACATGGTTTAGTTCAGTGCAGTAAAAGGGGTAGGGCCAGCTCCAAATCTTGTATCATTCTGTTGTGGACAAAGCCTACCTAGCACAGGATTAGGCACAATAGGCAACAATAAAGATTTATAAACCAAAGTACACAGCTACAGACAGTTTTTGCAGATGTGCACTTGAAGACCAGATACCCCTGGGAGGCCTTTCATGCTAATGGGACTCTGGCTTCCAGAGCTGTGTATCCTGCTCTCTAAGCACATGCCTGCCAGATGAGAGAAAGCTTGAGCTCTGGCTTACCCTGTCCTCTAGGGAAGGAACCTGAAGCTTCTGGTTAGTGGGAGGATATCCCTTTATTGGGGCTGGTGTAGAAATAGGTTACTTGTTCTTCTGTTCATCTTACTCTGGTTTCCTCTCTGGCAGAGTGGGGAACCAGGTCTATGTGGGTGGGACCCCCAATATGAAAGCATAAACTAGATAGAGGAGAGGAGAAGTTGGGCCACCACCTTCCACAGGAATCTATCCATTTTACTGCTGAACTCAGAGCCATGGTAAGCCTATTTCTAACTGCCCCAATTACAACCTATCTGACTTTAAATCTGTCACAGAACCGCACTCTGACTTCCCAAATCTCTTGCTCACATTCTCCTCACATACCCCAGGGACACTGGGGAAGTTACTGAATGATTGAAGTAGGGAATGGAAGCTTAACTCAGTAAAGACAAGATGCTTTGTGTGTGTGGATGGGGAGGGCCTCTAAGCTTCCGGCTACGCCCTAGCTGGCGCCACAACGGGAGGGACCACTTTTGGCTCAGCGTCTCTGGGGCCCATGGCAGGGAGCAGGGAGCCTGTCTCTAGGGAGAGGCTTGATCCAGAACCCCAGCCCCAGGGCTTGGCTACCTCTCCACGTCTACCCTCTAACTCTTTCTTTTGCCTCCGCCTTGTTGTGGGCCCCCAAGTTAGAAAATGGTTTTTATTTCTGAATCTTGGCTGGAGCCCGGCAGCTCCTGGAGTCGCTCAGGACCACACGGGGTAGGGGAGGGGCTGGATACTTGGGGCGAATTCCGAGGCAACCACAAAGCAGGAGTCCGGTTGTGAGGGGTGGGGGGAAAGCGCTCATTCTATGTGGGGACCAGAGGAAGATCGGCTCCTCACTGTAAGAGGGGACATGTGTCTGGGTCCCTGAGCCAGCCAGGGAATCCCCTTCTAGGCTGTTCTTCGTCCAGCTGGACTCAAGGCGCCCCCTGAAGGCCCAGGGGTCGGACAGCGTCCACCTGCAGAGCTGAGACTCATAGCCGAGAGCCCCACCTGACCCAATATGGACCTGGGGATTCTGTATTCTCAATAGCGTTTGCAGAGTTTGTAGGTTTCAGGAGTAGCCTCCTTGTAGCCTCGGTTTCCCCTCTGCCGCCCTGCTGGCTGGTGCCCGGCAGCCTTGAATGGGAGGAACCCCTGCTGTGCACCGCCTCCATCTTCCCCGCACCCCGCCTGTGCTGCAGCGGATGGCCTTTAATAACGTCGCTGGAAAGTGACATGCGATTTATTATTAAAGTAATGCGGGCGCAGGGACGGTAAAGGTTTAATAAACGCGCTGAGATGCCGAGGATTATTCACCGCAAATAAATGAGAGAGCGGGTGGTGTTTTAATAAATAATTTCCCGGGGCTCCCACGGGAGGAGAGGGGAGGAGGATGGGGGAAGCTGAGCGACTGCAGGAACTCCAGGCTTCGCCTCCCCATGGGTTTCCAAGCCTTCTTGCATTTTCCTTCCTAGGTTGCTCACACCTAGATGTTGAGGTTCCAGGAGAGTGCACTCTCCTGGAGTAGCCCAGGACTGGAGGTGGGAAGAGCTGTACTTGCCCCACATACAAGATTTTAAGTAGTTTGCTTCAGATAGAGCTAACATCTTCCTTTCAGCATCCACCCAGAGATGGGAATCAAGACCGGAAAGGAGCAGGCAGGGTTAATAGCAACTAGCCCTGCTTTTGGCTTTTTTGGGTTAGGTGTCCAACTCTCCTTCATCTAAGGCAGGCTGTGAGGAGTAAGCCAAAAGGGGGCTATATGTACAAGTATGAGAATGACACGTGTTTGCAAATGACCCTGACTCTGGTTCTGTCCTTGGACCATCCGGGAATGGGGCCACTGCTCTGGCTGCTTCCTACTGCAGACTCTAAGAATCCTCAGCTGTCTTGGTCTGAAATGAAGGTGTTTGGGCTTAGCTCCATCCTTGGCTTGCTGGTGACAGAGTCAAATTGAGGATTGGGCAGAACTAGAGCCCCAATGAGGAGTAGACATCTCGGAAGGAAGTCTGGAGTCCCAAGAGGAGGAGCCTGACTTTGGAGAGGCCAGAATTGCAGATTTTTGGGACTGAGTTCGCACTTATAAGGCTGCTGGTGGTGGAGGGGGAGCTTAAGTTATATCTGACTCTGCATATTTTGTATCTTGGAGGAAAAAAGCGACATCTCTGGCAACACTTGGAAGTATAGGAAGTAGGGAAAAAGTGCCATCTGGTGGATATTTCTGGTAGTGTCCTTCAGGCCAGGGTCAGGGTCCTTGAGACAATTTTTGTTTGGAAGCATCTGTGTAAAAAGGTGCTACTATATGTCTTCATTTAGTGTGGACATATATGTAGTATATATGTGATGTCTATATTTACCTGTGTAAACTATAAATTATTATGTTTATAGTGGTTGTTTGCATATGTGTTTTTATATGTACATTATGTAAACTGTATAAATTATGTAGGTATATCACAATATGTTATGTATGTGGATTATCTAAATGCATATATAAGTATGCAGATATCACATAGGTGTATTTATGATGTGTGAACATAAACATTGTATATATTAATTTTTTTTGGCAATACTAGATGGAACCCAGGGGTGCTCTTCCAGTGAGCTACATACCCAACCCCCCCTTTTTTTGTGGTGCTGGGGATTGAACCCAGGGCCTTGTGCATTCAAGGAAAACACTGTACCAACTGATCTATATCCCCAATCCTAATATTATTTATTTGTTTGTTTATTTTTATACTGCAGATTGAACTCAGGGAAACTCTAACCCCAGCCCCATTTTGTATTTATTTAAAGATAGGGTGTTAGGGAGTTGCTTAGCGCTTCACCATTGCTGAGGCTGTCTTTGAACTTGCAATCCTTCTGTCTCAGCCACCAGGTCACTGGGATTATAGATGTGCACCACTGCACCCAGTCCTAATACTTTTTAAATTTTTATTTTGAGATAGGGGTCTTGCTAAATCACTGAGGCTAGCTTCAAACTTGCGATTCTCCTGCCTGAACTTCCCAAGTAGCTGGGGTTAACAGGCATGCACCATCACTGCCAGCTTGTATATATTATTATATGTATTTGTATATACATTTATTTACAAGTATATGTTCCATATGTGTCAGTCTTTCTATAAACATTTATGTACTAGCACTGTTGTAGGGTCAGGGCTATACCATGGGGAGAAATTGTCCCTACATCATGGAGCACACATTCCAGTTGTGTTTATGAATATATGTGCACTTTAATTAATTATATATGGATATATTTGCAGGTTTATGGGCATATGCATATGTAACAATGTCCACCTGTGTATGTATGAGGGGCAGATGAGCTTAAACTCTGGGTTGGCCTGGAGATTCCTGTTTTTTTTTCCTCTATTATTTTTCAGTTGTAGTTGGACATAGTATCTTTATTTATTTATTTATTTTTATGTGGTGCTGAGGATTGAACCCAGGGCCTCACAAGTGCTAGGCAAGCGCTGTACCGCTGAGCTACAACCCCAGCCCAAGATTCCTGGTTTTTAACTCAAAAGTGTAGGTCCTATCACCTAGAACTCTTTTAATGAGTGTGCAGACAGATGAAGGCAGAGGGAAGGAGGATGGAGATAAGCTTATGTCTTCCTAGGATTTATTTTAGCTGTTTCCTCAGCTCTCTGGATGACTAAATTCTTTCTAAACAAGGAATAGCTATAGAAGTCACTTATGGTAATGAAAGTTAATACAGATCAAATCTTACCTCTGCTCAAGGCAGAGCACCCTTGGAGGAAGGATGATAGGCTAGGGATGGATGTAAATGCAGTCTAGGAGGCTGAGAGTAGGAACAGGCTCTGAGAACAGTGTTGGGGGCTACTCAGAGATCAGGTCTGGGAGATAGTGAATCAGCTGTGGATAATGGGGGATGGTTTGAAGACATTTGAGAAGAATGGGATAGTGGGATTGAGAAGAGGCCTGAGGGGAGTAATGAGGTCATGAATGAAGATCAAGTTGGATTGGGGGAGGAAAGACAGGCTCTGGTGGCAGAGATACACCAATCTTGGATGGAGCCTGGATGACAGCTCAGACAAGCCACTCTCCCTTTCTCTGACCCCCTACTTTCCCCATGTTGAGGCCCCTAACATCTCTAGCTCTCTGCTCAAGCTGCATCCCAGATACGCTGGGGGCAGAAGAGAAAAGCTTAAGTTTCAAGGCTTGACTTTGCTTAGCTAACTCACTGGTGGGTGAGGTAGAGCAGGCTCACAACATCAGTGTCCCGTGAAGCCTTGTCCCAGCTACCTGGGTCATTGCCTGCCCAGCAGCCATTGCAGTTCCCAGTTTGGGCTTAAGGGTGGAACATGGACCTGGAAAAGGTCATGGTCTCTACTCCCAGCACACACTCCCAGGGCAGAATTGGGGAGAGTGCTTCACAATTATTTTTTCCTCATTCCCTCCTCTGCTAGATGTTTTCCAGATGCTGTTGATACCTGAATGTTTCCAGTGTCATCCTAATTCTTGGTCTGTGGTGATACCTCATACCTATCCCCTTCCTTCTCACCATCTCTTGCTGGACCTCTTCTCCCTAAAACCAGGGATACTCTCCCCCCTATTTTTGTCCCCTCGTTGTCTCTTTCCCTCCCATCAGTCCCTCTTTTTTTCCTAGCATTGAGATCTTAGTTGCCAGGGCTGTGTCCTTACTGGTCAGGATAAGTGGAAGACACAGGCTGGAGCCTGGCCTGGATTTATTTTTGACACTTTCTCTGCCATCCAGGCAACTAAAGCATCTGTGGACATAGTGAACACTTTCAAATGTCCTGTTTTAGTGATAAGTGTTAGCTGATGGTCAAGTCTCATCCCATCCCCTGGGTGGAGCCTTGGGAGGCAGGATG